ATCAACTTCAGGGAGGAGGAAATCTTCATTTTGGAGCCTGGGTGTACGCCATCATGAGGCTCACCACCCCAACATTGTTTGCCAACTAACCCTCCCTTCCCCTACGCCGCCCCTTGCCAGCTGGAAGAAGCCAGAGCGAACACAACGCCCCCCTTCCTTAACAAACAAAAAGGGAGGAATGTTGGCAATAATGGCGCCGATAGGTTTCAGTTCTTACTGCACCCTTAAGCTTCTGTTTTCCAGGGTCACAGTCCTGCCTCAAGTCTAGCTTGAACCCTCCTTCTGCCCCAACTTCCAATCAGCATGAACCATAAGATCCTAACCAATCAGATCATGCTGAGTCCCACTGAGGGGTATTTAAGCCCCTGCCCCTCTCTCCCTCTCTCTCTCGGCTCTCTCTGCTCTCTCCCTCTCCCACCTAGCAATAAAGAATCTCTTGGCCAGATCACTCCTCTCCACGTGGTCACTTTGGGGCCTGTATTTCCTTACACTCCTTATTTACCATTTAGAGCAGGTTACAGAAATGGGGGTGCAGCTTGTCCCATACATGTCATTTCATTGGATGTTTTAACCTCTATAGCGAGGTGACTTCTTCTGGTCTCAGGTAACATCATTCAACTCCAGTTCTCTTTGTTTCACTGTAGCTCTCATTAATCTCTCTTCTCCTCCCTGCCTTCCTGCCACATTGCCCCCTTCGATGCTCAGACCCACTTCTGGGTCAAAGAGCATCATTTTTTTTATTGTTTTATTATTCATATGTGCATACAATGCTTGGGTCATTTCTCCCCCCTCCCCCTACCCCCTCCCTCAGTTCTGCTTTTTAATTTGTGCAGACATTCCTGTCTCACATACCTTCTGGTTCAGATATACATGGACTATGGTTTAATCAGGCATGCAGACTCAGAAATGACTATTGTTAGAAGATTTTACTCCTAGTTCCCTAGAAGCAGGAATCCTGGCATACTGGGCCACACCAGGAGCACCAGGGCTGGGCATGAGACAGAAGGAGGAAGGGGAAAACATGGGCAAGGACTTTTTTATTGTTTCTGTGGGGAGGAGTGACAAGGCAGAGTAAGCAGGCTCAGGATTGGCCAATCTGAATGCTTCCAGGAGGCTGTAAGGTGGAGGGACTATCTGGAGTTGTTAGTACCTGGCCATGGGGTCATTTGGGCAGAATGTGGTTTGCCTAGGAAAAGTGGGCTTTGCAGGAATTAATAACCCTAGGAGAACAGTCTTTCCATCTTTCCTGACAGCAAGGCCCCAAGACGCCAAAGCATTATAAAGTATAGAAAATTTTAAAATATAATTTATACAGCTTCCTTGTAAATTGAGCCCTTAAGCCTTTCTTCATCTTATTTGATGCTTTTAGACCTGAATCCTATGTTGTTTGGTGCATGACCTCTGTGTTGTGTTTGTTGCCAGGACTGTTTTGTCTCTGTCTGGCAGACCTGATAAACCATTGATCACCCATCTCTCTTTGTTGTAACCTTTCTAAATCACTTTGCTCTACATGTCTCATATACAGCAAATAATGATTCCTTTCTGAGATCATATGAAAATCCCTTTCTTTAAATAACTGTTATACCTTCTTAAGTTTATTGCTAAGACAGATATGATTGGTCTTAGCTGTGTCATATTTCCTACTTCTATATGTGAATATTTAAATGTCTTTCACTATGTTTTGTTAGCTTTTTATTTGAAATACCTTGGGGGCATTTAGAAAAGTTGCATTTATTATCTAATGGTTACTTTTTTAAGGTCTGTCTTTTATGTAATATCCTATTTCCCTTTTCTTTAGACAGTATCAGTTCATTCCCTATAATATGCCTCAATAAAACTAGTTTGTATCTTCTTCCACCTTTCTCCCTCTTTCCCTCCCTCTCCCCTCCTTTTCTCCTTCCCCTCTCCTTTTCTTTTTCCCTCCCCCTCCTTCCCCCATCTCATTCTAACACCCACACACGTGCTCCAGTTTATCTTTTATCTACTTTTAGAGTTTTCCTTTATGCTATTAATATATTTTTGCTATGTCAACTTTAAACACTATCTTTGTACTGCCCTATATTACAAACAAGGCAACTGCAAGCAAATTCTGCTTTCTACCTCTTAAACATTTTTGTTGATTGTATCATTTTTGCTAACACCCATATCTGTACCTTTGATTCTTTTTTTGTAGCTGTGAAGTTAAATAAATTTACTGTTTCCTGATTTTCCTGATTGTCCCTTTATCAAACTCCCATTCATCTCTTGATTGGCTTGAGTTCATCCTATAGTAGTTTTTTCAAGAAATGTCCATTTGAACAATGTTTTCTGAACTCTTACATGTTTAAAATCACATGTGTCTAGGCTTCAGACAGGATGGAAAAAGAAAACTTGTTGAGTATTATATTGATTGGTGTTTCATTACTGTAACACAATATCCAAAGCAGGCTACTTTATAGAGAAAATGCTTAAGTCCAAACAGCATGGTAAGACTCTTGCAACACCCCCCCCCCCTTTTCTGTATCACATCATGGCAGAAGTGCTTGCATACCTGTGTCTGGGGAGGGAGGAGATTGGTCTCTCTCTGTCTCTCCTTTGAAGCCACCAGGATTCAATCATGGGGTCTCTACTCTAATGACCTAATCTCATCCAGTCACCTTGCAAAGGTCCCACCTCTAAACACCATAGTCTGATTAAGTTTTTGCTCTCTTAACCCTATTAACATAAGCTTTGGGGTTGAGCTCCTGTATGAGCTTTGGGGCCACAAGCCATACTAAAACCACAGCAAATATAAAGCTTCCTCAGCTCATCCCTTTTTCTATTTTTCAGTGTCTTGTAGATGTGACCGCATCTTCTTCTGGCATTGGATGTTGTTTGTAACAAGTATTTTGCCAACCTGGTTTTCTTGCCTTTTTGCTTAAATATTCTTTATGTTTCAAGCACAGTAATTTTATAATGATAGATATTGATACTGATAATACTAGGACAGTTTCCTTACTTAGCGTGTTCTTTCAATATATATGTCCAAATACATATTTCATCAGAGTTTGCTTTTTATGATTCTTTTGCACTAAATCAAATCACTTTCCACCCCTGCATGTGTCAAAACACATGTTAAACTTAATGTGAAATCTACCCTCTCTTAAGACATTTAAAAAAATGAATAAGCCAAGCACCAGTGGCTCACACCTATAATCCTAGCTACTTGGGAGGCTGAGATCAAAAGGATCATAGTTTGAGGCCAGCCCAGGCAAATAGAGACCCCATCTCCAAATAATCAGAGCAAAACTGGAGATGTGGCTCAAGCAGTAGAGCACCTGCTCTACTGCCCATCATTCAGAATAAAACTAGTCAATATAGTTCATACCTGCAATTCAGAGTTAACCAGAGAAGATAAGATTGTATTTGCTCCTTAAAAAATTCGGCTTTTTGTTTTCCAGTGTTGGTGCCAAAGATGGAACCCAGGACCTTGCACATGCTAATAAGCAAGCACTCTACCACTGAGCTGTATCCCCAGAAAAGGCTAAATTTTTATTTGTTTTCAAAAGGCACATGATGACTAACTGAATCAGATGTAGTTCAATGCCTTCTCTGTTTTAGAAGCCTACTAACTCTGGGAGGCAGGAATCAGCCCCACACTACATTCCAGCCCCCACAGTAGCTCCCCCTATTGTTGTGGGAATGTCAGCTACACCACCCATGGAGAGGGGGGTGCATTGCACTCATCAGGGCCTACTACTAAGGCCCTGAACAAGAAAACACCTCCCACATGTCTGCTTTTCCCATAAAGCTTATAAGAAACAGTAGAACTCTGAGCAAAAGCCCAAAGAAACTTTTGGAAATCTTTTTCTTCTTTTTTTTTTTTTTTTCCTCTCTGTGTTTTGTTCCTCTCAATCAATAAAATCAATCTTATCAAAAACAAAGAATAATTACATTTATTTGGAACTTACTAGTATTGTAATACAGAAGATACCAAAAGCAACCTTGAACATGTGCTCCAAGTGGTTACGTGATGGTGGCTTTTTATTTAACTTAAACTTCAGAGGGGCTCTTTATTATGACATTTCTTTGTCAGGAATTATGATTGGTTGGCAAGAATTGGTAAGAATGCTACTGGTTTGGGAGGCTGAGATCATGAGGATCATGGTTCCAGGCCAGCTCAAGCAAAAAAAATAAAAGTTTGCTACACCCCATCTCAACAGAAAAAAGCTGGGCATGGTGGCACATGCTTTTCTTTGCAGCTATAGTAGGAAGCATAAAATATGAGCATCACAGTCCAGGCTGGCCTGGGCAAAACGTGAGACCCTGTCTCCAAAATAACCAGAGCAAAAAGGGCGGAAGACGTGGTTCACGTAGCAGAGTACCTGCCTAGCAAACACAAAGCCCTGAGTTTAAACCCCAGTACCACCAAAAAACAAAGAAAGAAAAAGCTACTGGGCACAGTCTCAGTCTCTGAGCAGTTTAAGGGACAGAGGGGAGGGCAGGGTGGGAAATTCACCAACTGTTACGAAGACTGGTAAATTTCGTTCCGGAAATTGCAGTTTGGCCCAGTTTCCAAGTCAGCACGACCCTGAGGGGTGTGTGCAAACAGCTCATTTCAGAGTTCAGTGGTGGTTGTGCCCGAAACCTGGTTTAACAAGGCCCCCTACTTCCATGTCAAGTGTTCCAGACTAATGCCACGCCTCTTTGATTCTGCTATGACTTTTCCCTTAGGGATAAGTGCTACAATTCCATTTTCAAATGTGAATGTAGTACTTAGGAACATAATGTTTACAGATGGGAGTAAGTGAGTATAGAAGTGAATCCAAAGGCTATGAAACATCATACAGTCACATATTTCAGGTCATCAGTTGTGTATGTAAAATTCCACATTCAGAGATTATGTAGAAGACCATTACCCCTTGGAAAAAACCAGTACTGGTGGAAAGGCTGTTAGTTACCATGCTAATGGGCATGGTACTTTTCTACAAGGAGGCCACAGTCCATTAATGTTGTAATTCCTTGTTATTTCTTATCCACAGGCAAAAACTGGGACCTGACAGCTGCTCTAAGCGACTATGAGCAGCTCCGACAGGTGCACACAGCCAACCTGCCACATGTGTTTAACGAAGGAAGGTGTCCCAAGCAGCCTGAACGAGAGCCAGCCCAGCCCGGGCACAAGGTGGAGCGGCCTTGCCTGCAGAGGCAGGACGATATTGCACAAGGTACAAGCTAAGGGGCTGAGCCTAGGCACGGCTGCCTGGGATGGTGCACCTATGGCTTGAAGGTGGATTGGGGTGATGCAAAGAATAGCAGGGTCATCACTTCCATGCTGCACACAAATTTGACCCTCAGTGCCTCCATTCCTCACTGCAATAGGCTGAAATATCCCTTGTAACATCAATTCCTGGCTCCCACCTCTGCCTCTGAAAAGCAGAAGAATGATATTCTTTTGGAATACAAAAGTCCTTTAAGGAATTAAAGACCAGCATTTCTCCTGGAGTCTAGTTTTTCCAGACCAGACATCTCTAGTTCTTTCAACTACTTCCCAAGTAGCTTAGTCTCTAAATCTGTTCAGTATCACGTTCATTGGTCCATGTGCTCCATCCTCTCTATGATTCTTCTTACAAGAGTAAGATGCGGTTGTTGTAACAAAGGAAACAATACAGTGATGTAACAGGAAACCTAAAGGTCTTTCCTCCCACCTCCCAAATCTCACTGCTTATGTGGGTCTGATTCCCCCTCTCCCCTCCCTAGGCTTGGTCATAATGCAAAGACAATAGCATCAATGTACGTCACACTCTGTCAAATGCATACTTCACTGAGCGCTGGTCACGAACACAGTCGCTTGATAGCTACATTTTATTATGCAGTATACATTAAGTTTTAGACGACGTATATAAATGGTATGCTGGTTTTTCTTGGATTTTTGTTTGTTTCTGCCATATAAGAAATGCTGGAATAAGTCTCTTTACAGATCTTGCATACCAGGGCTTTTCTTCCTACAGGCCAATATCCCACAGTAGGCCAGCTGTGCCAACTCATGTGATTTTAACTTAACAACTTCAAAATTTCTTCAAATGCATTTCTACTCACTATGTGTGAACCTGAGCGTTTCTCTTCCTTCTTGCCAGCACTGGATGTTAGTGCCTGGGTTTTATCTTGTTCATCAACTCTGAAGGGAGAAAAGTGGTTTCTTCTTTTCGCTTTCACCTCATCATTTGCTTGTTTGCTTTTGCAACAGCTTGTTTATATTTGGTCCATTTCTCCATTGATTGGCTTGCCTTTGCTTATCAATTGGGGCTTTCTGTCTCATTAAGGCTAAAGACATACACCTGTGTATGTGTATCTCCTGCTGTGTCATTGGTCTTATGACTTTGCTTATGGAATATTTTACAGTACAAAATGTTGATATCATTACACAGCTGTAGCTGCTTGAGTACTGATCTTGCTTTACAAAGTTTCCTGGAATACACAGTTACTAAAACATTTGTCCTATGTTGGTTTATAAATTTCATTCTTTGGATCTTTTCATGAGTTTGAAATTTTTATAAATAATAGCAAAGGATCTAAGTCTGCTTTCTTCTGGATTCAGGCACATTTATTGAACAAACATCCTTTTCCCACACTGAACTAAAATGCCAACTGTGCCATATATTAAATTCCCAAATATACCAGTGTCTGTTTCTGGGCCATGTTCTGTCTGCACACATGGCTGTTCAGCCTGTTACCCTTGATTCTATCAGGTTCATATAATATTGCTCTCTGCTAAGGTGACCCATTATTGCTGTGCTTTTCCAAAAATTTTCTCTACTTTTGCATGTCTGTGCTTCCATGTAGATCTTAAAATTACAATTCTGATTGGAATTGAATTAGGTTTTTTATTTTAAGAACAATTGGCATTTTTAATATTTTTCTCTCATTCAAGAATATTACACATACCTCTCTATGGTTTCATGTTTTGTTCAGATGATGCATAGAAAAAAGTGACTTGTTTTTCAACCAGTCACCTACATAAATTCTGTTATTAATATTGACATTTTTCAGTAGAGGGAGGAAATTCAAATGGATGTACTTGATACATTGTAAGAACCTGTATATTTGCCACAGTGTATCCCCACCCAGCACAACAATAAAGGGAAAAATATATTATTAATGAAAATAATACAGTTTAAGAGAATGACTTGGGTTTTTTAAACATACAAATCATATCTGAAACTATTTAGTATCATTTACACAGAATTACTTCTTGCCCTCTTGCATTAAGTCAACTCTCCAAAAGCATTGTGGATGAATGTTGTCCTTATTTCTGTTAGCTCAGCCTTATTATTCAAGCTATAATATATAATAATATATTTTAATATATTAATAATATAATTGAAAATAATATAATAAAAATATATTTGAACCTTTATCTTATATTGTTCTTTTTGACTGCTTATTCTGTTGTCTAGGAAATTCACAACTGAGTTAAAACTGTAATATGCCTGGACTGGTTTTTGTCTTAATTTCATCCTTTCTGCTGTTTGTCTTGAGGCTGTCTGTTGGTAGGTGTATGTTAGGTTAATTTGCTCTAGTGTTCTTTTTTACCAATACAAAAGATGTCTCTTTGTATCCTGTAATGGTTTTTATCTTTAACTCTGTTTTGGTTGATATTGCACTGCTACCCTGGCTTTCTAGTGGTTCATATTTGGCTAGAACCTTTCCTTATCCTTTCATATTAAATGTGATCCTTGAAAGTGATTTCTCATTAGATTTTATTTTATTATCCAAAACAAGAGTCTCTGCTTTTCAAGTACTGAATTTGAACCACTTACTTAACTTTAATTACCTCATACCTCTTTATGTTGCATATTTTATTTACCAAACTTTTTGTGTGTTTCTACTTTTCTATCTTCTCTGGCTAAGTAATTTTTTCTACTAGTTTGAAAATTTACATTCTACATTTATTCATGTGGCAATTACCTCTATTCTAGTATTTAGGTTTTCATTCTATGATTTAAAAAATATCTTATTAGCAACTATATTTTAACCTGAAAAATATATGTGTGTCAATAAGCTCCTATCTCTTCCTTCCTCCACTTGCCCTCAAGCATATTTATGATTAAATATGATTAATATTTTTATTTTGACAAAAATTAACTTCTTGATTTGCTCATATCTGTGGTCACATGTCACAGAATTACATTTTGGGAATGACAGACTGCATTCACAATGCTGGTCTGTAAGACTGTAATGGAGGTGAGGAATTCTTATCACCTCATGATATTACAGAAATTACTCAGCTGCTCATGATGATGCTAGTGTGAATGAACCTGTTGCACTGCCAATTGTATAGAAGTACAGTAGCTATCATTATTGAGTGTTGGTAATTAACAAATAATGATATCAATAGACATATCATCAGGTACATAATACTTGATCAGAGATGACTCTTAGTGGTATAGGTGTTTGCTATAACATTCTTTTGTTGTTGTTTTTGGTGATACCAGGGTTTGAACTCAAGACCTTGTGCTTGAGCACTCTACCATCTGAGCCACACCCCCCAGGCTTTTTTACTTTTAAACTATTTTTCAGATAGGGTCTCACACTTTTGGCCCAGGCTGGCCTCAAACTACACTCCTCCTATCTCCCCCTCCTATGTAACTGGGATTATTTGGTATGAGCCACCATACCTGGCCCTTAATACAATAAACTTTTTATCATTACTTTAGAATGCACTCCTGTTTATAAAAAATAATGATAATTTACTATAAAGAAGCATACCCTGTCACACTGGGAGCAGCTCGCATGCCTCATGCTTACCTCTCAGGAGGCCACACTGAGAGACAGAGCTAGACCTGCCAGGTCTGTATACATATGTTCTGTGTGTTCTCACATGACATAGTTCTCAGAACATATGTCTGTCATTAAGGGACCTGTGACTGCATTAATTTCTTTTTTGCTGAAAGAATGTTTTCTCCAGGACTACTTTCACAGAGTGTTTTTGCATGGTGAATACCAATGACCTTAAGAGGCTACAAAGGTTTATATTATGTGCTTAAATTCAGTTTTAGTGGAATAAAAATTCTTGGGCCACATTGTTCTCCTTGAGCTCTTTGTAGCCCTTTCTCCTAACCCCACCCCACCCCATCTTCTTGCTGCTCCTTTTCTTGTCTCCTAAGAGATTCTTCCACCCGAGGTTCAAACTTCCTAACTCACTTCTTCTCATGCATCTATTGTGAATCAGTATTTTCATGCTCATTCCACTTTAGTTCTTTGTCTTTATTTGTATTTCACATTCTAACATTCTTTTTATCTCTCTCAACATGTCTGCTAGGCTCACTTATAGATCTGGCCCATTTATTCTGCTTCCCTTGGCGTAGCTCTTTGTTGACTTTCTTTATCACACTTGCCTTCTGTGGATGTTCCCTCAGTTTCCCTGTGAGTTCCTGGTGCCTGTGGTTATCTGTTGTCTCAGCTTGCAGGACACACCAGGCGGAAGGCAGGCAGTATGGACTCTGGCTGGTCCTCTAATGGAAAATGCGGGAGAAAAGCCACTTGAGTTGGAGGACTTTGAATGTTTTTGTTTTTATTTTTTTAACTTATCCATAATTGTACTTTTGGGGTCTCACTGTGTAACCCAGGCTGGCCTCAAATTCATGATCCTCCTGCCTCTACCCCCTGAGTGCTGGGATTACATGTGTGCACCACCTTGCCCAGTGTAACTGTACAATTTATGGGTTACAGTGGGATATTTCAATTTCAGTATACATATACAATGTATAATGATCAGATCAGGGTAATTATTATATCTATCTCAAACATTTATCATTTCTTTGTTCAGGAAACATTCAAAATCCCCTCTTCCAGGCAGAGCATGTTGGTACACGCCTGCAATCCCAGCACTTGGAAGTCTGAAGCAGCAAGATTGTGAGTTCAAGTCAGCCTGGGATACAAATCAAGACCCCCTCCTTTCTCTCTCTCTCTTTCTCTCTCTCTCTCTCTCTCTCTCTCTCTCTCTCTCTCTGTCTCTTTCTGTTTCTCTCTCACAGACATACACAGACACATACATAAACATGCAAATCCTCTCTTCTAGCTACTTTGAAATACACAGTAAATTATTGTTAACTGTTGTCACCCCTATGGTTCTGTGGAACCCTACAATAGCCAACCGCCAGCCTATCTATCTCCGTTTCTCCCTCCCATCTTCTCCCTTTGGTAACCAGTAATTCACTCTCTAGTTGTAGGAGATCAGTTTATTTCACTTCTACATGTAAATTAAATCATGTGTTATTTGTCTTTCTGTGTGCCTAGCTTTATCCCCAATGTTCTCCAGGTTCATCCATGTTGTTGAAAATGACAGAACCTTGTTCTTTTTATGGCCAAATACTATTCCATTGTGTATCATACCAGATTTTCTTGATCCATTCATCTGTTGATAGACACTTGAGTTGTTGAGCTGGTTCCCTCCCTGGACTGTTGTGAATGGTGCTACAGTGAGTACATGTCTCAACTTACCAATTTCCTTTCCTTCAGAGATATACTCAGTGTGAGGATTGCTTGGCCTTGTGTATTTTAATTCTGACTCAAAACTTTCCTCTTCTTGCCCCTTCCCCACAGTCAGCTTTTCTCCTTAGGGAACCTTCCTGGACCTCTGATCTAGAAATTGCTCCTTTCCAGGAGTAAAGTGTTCAAGTCCCAGGGTAAGTGGAGAAAGGAGGGGAGGCCCGACTCACTGCTGTTCTGGTACACGTGATACTCCTCAGCTGCCTTAGGCCCAAGGGCTGCTTGCCCACACTTTTGATTACAGTAGTTGGCAGTGACCTGCTGGGGCTATGCCCTAGAGAGGAAGGTCAGAACCAGAGCACCATCCCCAGCCCCTACTGTGGAGCCCCTCCCCCTTTTCCTGAGCATCTGCAGGGTGGGTTTAGGACTGGATGCTGAGTCTTCCTCTCCATCTTGTCCTTGCTACATTGTTCATAAGCTCTGTTTCCTCTCTGCCATTAGCTCTGGCTCAGGAGGGACTGACCATCTCTTACAGGCCTTTGGTTCCATCCTCTACCAGGGCCTTTCCTGACTGTCCATACCTTTAGCACCACATGGTCAAGACTCTTCCTCTCTAGCCCATACAGGTGACAACATGGCAGCTCCTGCTTTTTTTGACCACAGCAAACAAACCAACCCAAAATCCCATCCTCCTGATGAGACTTATGGAAGGATTCTCCTCTCTCCACTTTCAGAGATGTTGGCAAAATCCCAGCCAATTAAGCACCTCTCTCCCTGTTCCATTGAACTTTTGTAAGATACCATTTAAGGAAAAACTAGGAGCCTTCTGTAGCATCATCTTATGAATTAAGCCTTGTGTCTTAATAGGCATGTGTATTTTAAATAAAACAAATTGTAGCATTTCTGAATTAGATTTACATCTCCCTTAGTTGAGTTCTTTCTGAAAATACAATATGCTAAGAGGAAAATAAAGCATCCCAGAATCTAAACCAAGGGTCAGCAAGTGATGACCTATGAACTGAATCTGCACTGTCTGTTTTTAAATTAAGTTTTGCCAAAACACCCACGCCCATTCATGTGTGGTGTTGATGGCTGCTTTGTTCTTCAGAGGTGAGTTGTTGAGGCTGAAACTACATGGCCTACAAGCCTAAAATGTTTATATCTGTCCCTTTAAGAAAAGTTTTATCCCACCAGTTTTAACATGTGCCCAGGATTTGTTTTAATCACAGACAGAAATGACTGTGAAGAGGAAGAAGTTTTTACCCACAGTTCCCTGGGAGCAGGAGGCACAGCACAGCATAGCAGGGCCATTCAGGAAGGTCAGAAGGCAGGGGGATTGAGGGGAGAACATGGGGAAGAGCCTTTATTGTGGTTTCTGTGGAAAATGCAAGCAAATCTAGGGTTGGCTTCTTTGAGTAATTTCAGCAGGCTCGGGGCAGAGCATAGGGCCTGTCTCAAGTTGTCTGGCACCTGGCCTTGGGGTGATGAGGATAGGGTATGCTACCTCCTGGGTTATCAGAGCCAGAGAGGAGAGAGTTTGGGATGGGCTCTGGACAAGTTGTTCTGCATATGAAGTCACTTCCTGGCAAGCCTTCTGTTCTCTTATAGACTTCTGATACCTGAGAGAAAAATACAAAAAATAAGAAAATACAGTTAACACATCTCCCCTGACCTAAATAATCAGTATTGGAGTTGGCCTTGTTAGTAGGGGAGAAATTCTGCACATTCCCCTTATCTCTCTAACACCTGTGTCCAGCTCCACTGGGTCCCAAGGACGGGATAGTTCCTTCTTTCCCAGACACAAAAAAAGGCTTATGGTAAGATGTGTGCCTCAGCATGTCTACAAGAGGCAGACCCACTTGGGATCTCCTTAGTTTCTGCTCTCAGGATTTGGACCAAGTAAAGGAAGCCATGGGGACATTTCCCAGTGACAAACATTTCTCTTTTTTTCTAGTAGCCTCTGTGATTTGACTTCTCTTTTTGCCATTCCTCAGAATACAAAATAACTTAATCATATTATCTCAGATGAAGTTGAGGTGAATCAAGACCATTTGTTCTAAAATAGGTTGTCTCTGTGACTTTCCATTCATGTGAATGGGCAGATACATCAGGCTTCTGAGAATTAACTTAAGTGCATATGTGTGGTGTGCACACATGTGTGCAGTGTGTCCTGTGTGTTCAAATTTATGTGCAGTGTATGTATCATGTAGTATATGCACATACGCTTTATATTCCACAGGCTCTAAAGCTTCTGCCTGCCTGCTAGTCTATTGTGACAAAATTCCCCTAATGCCATTCCTGGCCATTTCTGATCTTACAAATAAGTTTGTCGGAATCCTCCCTCACTGGAAGGAGTCACCAGCTGGGATTTTCCATGTGGCCATGGCTGGTCAGGGATATGCCTTTGACAAGCATCCTTACCAGGAAACAGGCCAGTCTGAAGCAAGATCAGCATCCTTAGGACACTACGAATACACTCAGGAATCTGCCAGTAGATTTAGACAGTACTCAGACCCAAACACCTGTAGTAATCCTGGTTTTCTGAGCCAAATAAGACCTCTGCTAAAATAATTACCCATGATCACAAATACTGAACAGTTATCCCCCACATCATATGTTTAAGAATTCTTATTTAGGTTAAATGTTAGCCACTGAACACAGAACTTAGAAAGTGGGTATGCTTTTATTGTGTCAAGAGAACAAATGTATCTATTTTTTTAAGTGATCAACTTCCCAACAAGGCAATACATGGCATTTTGGAGAAATCCTGCACTACATGTCTCATTCCTTGCCAAGAAAGTTCTAGAAGAATTAGACCAGAGTGGACGATCATATCTGAGAGATTGTGCAAGAGATGTCATATTTGTGTCCCTAATAAAATAACCTCTGTCTGAAAGTCTAAACCACAGTCAAGAAAGCCTAAACAGGATGCTTCTTGCTTTAAATATGTAAATGCATGAAAACAAAGAGGGGTCTCCTTGGTACCATTCAGTGCTGGGAGAAAACAGCTCTCATGGATTGAGTTAAAGAACAAAAGCAAGCCTGGTCTTCTCTGATGGTGCTGACGTGGACTTGTGTGCAGTGGGCTCACAGCTCATCTCTGAGTGGTTTCATGAGTTGTCATGAGGAAGGGCCACACACCAAATGCTGATAACTTTAGCCAGCAGCAGGAAGGCCTACAGGGTAGAAAAGTCTTATAAGATAGAAGGGCTGGTGTGGGAAGGATGTGAGTGTGTAGAAGTATATGCTTGTTGATGTATGTACATATATGTAGCATTGCACATGTGGGGTGTGCACATGTGTGGGTACAGTATGGTGTTCTGTGTGTTCAGATTTATGTACAGTGTATATGCCCTTACACTGTGTGTGTGGTATATGCATAGTATATGGTACATGAGTATGAATATATGTGTATGGGTATATGTGCCCATAGGTGCCCATAGTATCTAGTGTATGTGCATGCATGCATATGTATATACTGTGTAGTGTGTATACATGTATGTGAATGAATATGTTGTACATGTGTGCTATGTGTGTGTACCTACACATATACCTAAGCATACTTTTAAATACTATATGCATGCATGTGTGTGCATGTACCTGTGCAGTAGGTGTGTACATGTAAGTGTGTTTATGTATTACACAGTGTGTATATGCACCTATATCTCCATGGGTGTGTGTTGTGTGCAAATTATATGCATGAGTGGTGTGTATGTTTGTACACGTGCACATTTGTGTATTTGGTGTGTGCTGTATGTATATGTATGTTCATTGTGTGTTGTTTATGCTGAGTCCATGTGTAGACATGTGTGTGCTTAAGAATATATGTGCCCATGTGTGGTGCATGTGTGCACATGAAAGTGTTTATGTGTAGTATGTGTGTGTGTGTGTGTGTGTGTGTCTGTATGTCTGTGTACACTTGCACTGATGTAGTCCTCATGGCTCTCTTTCCTTCTTCCCTACAGAGAAGCGACTTTCCCGGGGGATTTCCCACGCCAGCTCAGCCATTGTCTCCTTGGCCAGGTCCCACGTGGCAAATGAATGCAACAATGAGCAGTTCCCTCTAGAGATGCCAATCTACACATTCCAGTTACCAGATCTCAGTGTGTACAGTGAAGACTTCAGGAGCTTCATCGAGCGGGACTTGATTGAGCAGGCAACCATGGTAGCTTTGGAGCAGGCAGGTAAGTGGCTTCTGCCTGCAAGCTCGTGTCCTCAGGCTTCATGAGTGATTGAGCTGGCTAAGAGCAGGAGAAAGATTCGTGTTTTCAGGCTCTGAACAGCTTCCCATCAGGATTCTCAATGCTTGTCCCAATCCTGCTCTGAAGACTGCCGTGCTCTCACTCGGCATTGGATGCAGGGCCTGATGAGCCAGTGGTGCTGAAATCTCTTGAGTTGTTTCCATTGTTTCTCAAATCCCAGCCCCCTCCAAGAGAGTCCTGTGCTACTTTGTCTTGCTTCTCTCTTCCCCATCCTATTCCTCTGTGGGTGCTGAGCAAAGATAAGAAAGATCCTGGGCTGTGGAGAAAAACGGGGGACCCCTGTCTCTCTCTCTGCACATGAGCAAGTTATGTAAACTCTCTGAACCTCAGCTTCCCATCTACAAAGATGAGAACCTTTCCAGCCAGGGGAAACTTTGAGAACTAAATGACATGAGCCATATGTAGCTGTCAGTTCCTGCCCTTCCTGCCTTTCTAGCTTCCTCGTTGAAGAGACACAAAACCTGGCTTCAGTCTCCTCATCACCCTAACATCCCATGAGGAAGAAACACAGTAAGCAAGCCAAATGTCTCTTCTCTGGCATTCCTGTGGAAAAACAACTGGTTCAAAGTAAATGTCTGCTACAGACTGATAATCTTCCAGAGACAAAACATTACCTCTTTTATTCATAACCACCTGCATTATAAATATCACAAATCATGTATTCAGGGATTTCTCAGACACAGACCCTATGCTCTTCTTCCCAAGCCACGCACTGCTCAGTGGGGGGGCCACACCTGCCAGTGTGGGGTGACAGTGGACATAGAGCATGTCCTCAGCCCATGTGAACCACTTTTCCTTCTGGGGAAGGGAAGCAGGGCCTTCCCATCTTGTAGGGCATTGAACCTCCACTCCCAGAGCCCTGACCTGGCAGCGAGAGAATCTGTGGAGTGCTGCAGCCAGCACTGTGCTGCTAGGGAGTACAGCTTAACTCAACTCTTGCTAAGAAACAATAGCCATTGCCAAGCACCTGTGTTTCAGAAGAAGACAGACAAGAAAGATCTAGATGTCAGACACTGGTGGATGGACCAGTCCATGCAGTCCTGAGAGGAGCAGTAGGAAAGCAAAGATGACACACAAAAATGAAGGCCGTGAAAGGATTCTGTAAAGAGACTGTTTACCAAGCAATGGATACCAGCCAAAGATAGTGTCATGCTTGGGAATATCCCTGGGAGGGCCTTTGCCACCTTTTGCCTGACAAAGCAGCAAAGGATAAGTAGTTATGTAGAGAGAGCATGACTTTGGGGAGATTCCACCCACACTCCTTCTCCACCACATAGACTGGCCAGTGCCTCTCATGGGCAGAAGGGCAAATGGCAGGGAGCTCACTGGTTGGCCCATGGAACTCACCCTCTGGGCACAGAGCAGCGTGAGGACAGAGTGTGGATCCTCAGGGAAAATAGGAAGCAGCCAGGAAGCCGATGTATTGTGAGCAGCTTGGAGCTTCTGGGTATACTTGGTTCCAGGCTACTGCTGGTCAGAGTAATCCAAAGGCCAACCTCAGCTACCTGCTCCAGGACTGAAGCACACCATGCATTTAGACAAAGGAAGGGATTGGGGTTGTGAACCTTATTGTTTCATCTTCACAGTCAAGTCTTAGCCACAGAACACAGGAGCCTCACCAACAGCACACTTGGTTTTAGTGCAGGATCTAAATCCACATTCACCATGGTGGAGTTCAAGACCTTGTGACTGAGGACAGATTGTTATCTTGCTGCTTCACAGCCACAAGAAACAGCCCAGTGAGTGGCACCCACAGCCCTGTCTGGTCTCGCCTCAATGCCATTGTCTGATCCAAAACCAAAACAATCCAGAGGGATCTACATCCCTCACTGTGGAGACTGGCCAGTTTGTCAGTGCCTCCATGTGACTAATTTAGATAAGGTATTTTAAACAAAAACCCACTCTTCACTGAGAAGTCGTACTGGTTAAGAAAGAAACAGGTTTCACGAGTTTCTCTCAGTTGAATGAAGAATCAGCTTAGTCCTTCCTGAAGCTTAGCACCAGTAGCTGGTAATAGCATGTGGTCACCTGAGCATAGGCTTCATCTGAAGCTCAGTACTGTTTAGGGGTGAGCAAGGAGTCCACGTGTCAGCTTTGCCTTCAGCCCTGTCATGTCTAGCAAAAGCCTTTGCTTCTGAATACCTTTCCTATTGTGTTTTCCATATAAAGCAGCACCTCTTATCCACAGTATACTTTCAGAGGCCTCAGTTACTCATGGTCAGCCAACATACTATATGCAAACATGTAGAAAGAAGCAATTTGTAAGTTTTGAATAACTTGTTACAGCATATTATTGTCGTTGTTCTGTTTTACTCTTAGTTATTGCTGCTAATCTCTTCCTATCCCTAATCTATAAACTGTCATAGGTACGTGTGTGTAGGGAAAGAGTATCTGCAGGGTTCAGTGCTGAGTGTTTGACATCAGCCATGGCTTCTGGCATCCGCTGGGATCTCGGAACATGTACTCCCACTTGTAAAGAGAGACCACTTTATCACATCAATTTCTGACACTTGTTTATATCTTACCTTCTGCATTAACAGTTTAAAAGTGTACTATTTGACTTCAGTCATCCAGCCTTTGGAAACATCTTTTGAAAACTCAGACTTACTGAGTTAAGATGTTAAATGTGCTGTGCGCTGAGAACGGAAAGAAATGGCAGCAGAGATCTAGGCCCAGCCCACACAGCCACAGGGAAGTCCGTGGTCTACACTAGCAGGAAGCCTTCAGCAGGTACCAGCTACTTCTCAGAGAGAGAATAGTTCAAAGTGCTTATGATACAAAGTGAGTCTAAAGGTCAGAGTTCTGCCTTAGATAGCTACCCTCAGACTCCATCTTTCCTGCATCGCCCACCCTGCAAAGCAAGGAAGGTGCACAGGCAAATGCACCTTTGGTGTCTGCAGAGCCAGGCAGTCTCTGAGCTGGTAGAAGCACAAACCTGACCCCACCCCACCATCCATCTGACTCCTTTGAACTTCTCTTTTCCTCATCATTTGGGCCCTTTCTGTGCCAAGCTTTTCCCAATCCTCCACTCATGAAAATGCAGCAACTCTTCTTTCCCTCCTCTCCCAAGCTCTGCTCCTGGGCCTCTGCCATCAGTATCTGTGGGGAAAACAGAACTGTACCTCAAAACCGTGATCTGAGAAAGCCACCAGTATTGCTGGGTGGAAAGTGTAAATTCCTCTTTCTAGTCTCATGCTTACAAGAGTTATGAATAAGCTATTTATATGGAATATTTATATGTATACATGGGAGATTGAACTATAGATATGAAAAAACATGGAGTGAAAAATGTCTGCTTGTTTCGGAGTTGGTTAACTTACTGGTGATTGAGAGGAAATAGCATTTGGTCACAGAGCCACAGGTGGGAGACTTCCTCTTTTCTTAGCTATATGGTAACCAAGGGGTCATGTGACCCAGAAAACAGTTTAAAAAATTGCCTTCACTCAGTTTGTGTTGCCCGAGATCCAACTGGTTTGCCTTGGGGACCTAACTGCAGTCTCCCAGGCCTATGTAATGTGGGTGTTCAGATGTCAATGGCTCCCCAAGGCACATGGGCAGCCCTGTCTATATGTGAGGCTTACATGTTGATGGGTGCCAGCCTTGAACTCCCACAGCTCCCACAAGTGGAGAAAATCAGTTTCCCCACCTTACAGTACTGGGGGTTACAAGCCACTCCCACCCCATGACAGTCTCTGGCCCTGTCTTTGGTAGCTAAAATTGACCAACCTTCTGAGAGAGGAAGGGAAAATGCTTTTCATTTTCTAATGACTAGTCTGCCATTGAGAACCCAAGGATTCATTCATTTCTCCATCTGGTGACACTGCTGCATTTACACATAAGAAGAATCAAAGATCAAGGGTCTGTAGGTTTGGGGAGTGACATCCAGTGCCTGCTCTTGGAGCTAACCTCCATGCTGGCAAGAGGGTGTGTTCAGTGTGTCTGTGGGCCAAAGAGCAGAGACAGATTTGTGTAACATAGTAGTTACTGCAGACACACACAGGAGACAGGAGATTGGAATATAGATGAGAAAAAAGTATTCAGAAACACCTTTGAATTGGGGCATTGCCTCTTGCTTCCATGGGAAGCAAGAGAGAATAGTTGGCTGCAGGGAGTCTGCCAGATAAATTAGAAGATGGAGAAGACTCACAGGCTTCAGAGTTCACTCACCCCTACCTCTAATCCTTGACTGGCTGGGAGAGCTTGGTCAAGTTGTCTGGCCTGTTTGAGCCTCACTTTGTTCCACCTGAAAGTCAGAGATGAGTAGCAGCTACCAAACTGAGACAGATCCATCACAGGGACACCTGCACTGCATGCCCAAATAATCCATGTCTAGGTCAAGGGCTGTCTCTGCACATGAAGCAGATAAAAATCACTGCCTGTGAGAAGATTAAAGCCCAGTGACAAAGAAAGACCATAAACAAGTAGTCCATAAAAATAAAGTGAGGCAATGACAGCTACTGTGGAGATACCAAGAAGCAAAAAATGGGGACACAAGAAGGAGGGAGGGATCCAGAGCAAACCAGAGGAGGGCAGACAGAGGGGAGGAGTGGAGGGACATGTCTGGGGCATGAACTTTCCTGGTGGGGGTATGGTCTCACAGGCTTGGAATGCTTCAGGAAGACAGTGTCACATGCACACATGCACCCCAGGCGGAAGGATCTGGGAACAAAGCTGAGGGAATGGGACCTGGGGCTTAGGCCTTTATCACAACTACTTTTTGCTAAACTGTAGGCAGGATGTGAAGCCCTGAGAGAGTTTTGAACAGAAGAGTGACAGGTTTTGATTCCCATGTGATGGATTCTGGCTGCTTTGTCAGGAATGGACTATGGGATTATACAAGAAGAGGGAGGAAGAACAGGGAAGAGGCAGCTGCTCTAGTCTGGAGGGGCTCCAGGCTGTGGGGTAGCAGTGAAAGTGATAAA